GTATATTTTTAATACATACTTATATATTATTATTTTAATATATTATATATATGTTTTCTATAAATTTGAATTCATTTTTATAATTTTTATTTGAGCAACGACCCTCCTTAAATGCACATCATAAACAAGATATCACAAAGAACTATATTGAAAGATATCTCATAGAAATCATTTTGAAGATGACGTTTTAATGTCGATTTAAAGAAATTAATTAAACCTTCCTTCAAAATATATCTTTCAGATATCTTATATAAGAAATCTCTCAAATAAGACGATAATTTTAGACCTCTTATAACAGACATCTTAATATATTTATCTAATAGATATCTTTTTATCACTCAAAAAGTTATCTTTAAAGAGATATCTTAAGGAGATCCTTCAGCCATCTTTTTACTGACAGAATCAAATATATAGTTTTTGCGCTTGTATTTCTTTTTATTAGCTTTTATGCACAAAATAATACCACGATAAGTTGCGGACCACATAGCAGAACATATTCATACTTAAAACATTCAGTTCAGAAGTCTAATACAAAAAGATATTGGTATTTGAAATTTTAAATTTGTAGTTCTAACTAAATTTGAAATTGGCTTTATAAAATTGCGAAATTATTTCATACAACAATGTATGCATAAAGACAAAACGAGGGACAGTCGTACATGATTGAGGTTAGTTAACCTCAATCATTTATAAACTGATATTTTTTATTTTTCTTCTATTTTTATATAAAGTCGACTGTCCCTGCTTTTGTCTTTGTGCGTACTACAATCGTGTGGAAGAATTTTGCAATTTTGTAAGACCAATTTCAAATTTAGTTAGAACTACGGATTTAAAATTTCAAATACCAATGTCTCTTTATTAGATATCTGAACTGAATGTTTTAAGTACGAAAATGTTCTACTATGCGGTCCGCAACTTAACCTGGTATTATTTTGCGCATAAAAGCTAATAAAAAGAATTACAAGCGCAAAAACTATATTTGACTGTGTCGGTAAAAAAGATGGCTGAAGGATCCTCTTAAAGCGATTTTAAAGCCTCTGGCGAACTCGATCAGTGTCAATAAGATCGGAGACGGAATTAAAAAGTCCATTATCGACATTTTTAATTGCAAGTTCTACTCGGTCCGAGGAATTTATAGCCAATCAACTTGTAACTTTTAAGAAAAAGCAGCAATTTTATTAGCTACACATTGCTCAGACCGAGATTTTGGATCGAGTTCTAGCATTGTCAACACCATGGCTTTACTGACAATTTGACAAATGTTTGGCAGCGACCTCTCTCGAAAAAGCCTGCAACTATTTTTACACGCCCTACTGCTCTTTTTCTCTTCTTCTAGATTTGGAATTCTGGACTTGCGTTTATTAGAAGTAATCTTTTTCCTAGGCTATTAATCTTAGTTCTAATTGCACGATATTGTTCTATATGTTGTCCCTAGAGTATACTGGTCTGATTTTGTATACAGGATGCTCCGCAACTTTTTGACCGCCGTTCACGGGATGGTATAAGGGACTAAGACAAACAGAAAAGTCCTCTACCATTTTGCACGTGGAGGAATAGTTATCGAGATATTGATATTCAAAAATCGCCGTATTAGCCCAACCTACTGGCAAATGTAAGCGCGCGGCGAGATGTATCCGTCCGCCTATTGGCCGCCGCTCGCGGCGGTGCACGGCGAGAAGTAAGGAGATTTATGAAAAAAATTGACCGCTGTGCGAGCGGTCGCGTATGTGGCGGATGGACAGTGGCGCGCCTCCCTTCTGGCCGCGCACCACCTCGAACTGCAGCCGATGGGCGGGCGGATCCCACCGCGCGCTTACATTTGTCAGAGGTTAGGCTAATACGGCAATTTTTGAACATCAATATCTCGATAACTATTCTGTTGGGCTTAGTTCCCTACTCTATCTTCCCGTGAACGGCGGTCAAAAAGTTGCGGAGAATCTTGTATATTTATTGTAGAAATCTTGTATTGAGCAAATATTGTCGTCAAGTAAACCAAAAATTTGCACAATTTTTAATTTTTATACAATATATTTTTTATATAAAGTCGACCAGCATAGTCTAAATTTTGCTGCGTACTTTAATTCTGTAAAAGAGTTTTGCATTACTATAAAGCCAATTAAAAGATATTACTTCTAACAAAGAATGTCGATAAAATAGAAAGCTTTAGGATCCCTTTTAAGGAGATCTTTCTGACATAAATGCTGTGCGGGCAATTACTTTAAATATCTCGTTTAAGCAAGAAAAAACGTTGGCTCGGCAAGTGTGACTGGCCACTTGAATATTAAAAATGACATGTTATTGTCAGATATAATCGTCGAAATAACATTAATGCTTTTAAACTAAACATCTTAAAATTTATGGCATCTTGTTTTCCCGACAAGAGAGAAAAATAAAGCCGGAGAAAAACAATAATTGCCGTTTCGTAATCTACAGCCACGTCAGAATCAGAATTCCAGAATATCAAGACTAATTAAAATCAATTTAATTTTCGTTAGAGGAAAGATCTGCATTTGCCCGCATTAAACAAACGATCACGGCGGTACGACGACGGCTTGTTCTGCTCGGCAGGATGTAGTTCTCTAGATTGCACAAAGTCATTGTCAAAGTTTTCCCGACTCCTACGCCGTATAAATGAAACGAGAAGCCAGGAATCGGAAGAGCTCGAGATGTATGCATTTGGGGGAGCATGGAAGATGTCGTCGACTTGTAAATAAGGGAAAGGGTGTGGGCGTGGGTCCGATACATATATTTACGAAGCACACTTTAATCGGACACGTTGTCCTCCGTTAAATACCGGCCGTCGTCTACCGAGTCGTGCATTTGAACGCGCCAACCGGCAATCGCGATTATAGTTTCGTCACGATATTCACTAACGTGAGTCAAACGCTGTCGAAAATACCGCCAAGTGATGATATTATCGCCGGGAGTGTGAAAGTGCAAAATGGATCATTGCCACGTATCACATTGAATCCGAGAACACGGACTCGTCATTTAAAATGCTTGAATTCTAATTGCAGTTGCTAATATTATTCTATACCTTTTCTGTCTTTCTTTCCACATGCCATTTTAATAGAAAAAAAAACTGAACTCTACAATCTGAAGTACATATTATAATTTTGTTAAGCACTTTGTCGTCTTTGATAACAGACATAAAATTAACAGAATGCTCAGTTGGGTCCCTTGTTACAATGTTAAATTATAAATTGATTCAAATTGGAGTCGAACCATTCACTAATTGTTAGCATCATTTGTTTTTCATGAATTGCAATCATAATTGAGTAGGTATGTAGTTGATTGTACGACTCGTGTAACAATAACCGAGTTTTTTCAATGCTCAATTTACTTTCATGTTATTTTTATGTTTATACCATTATTAGGAGTTAAAGTTACTTGTTTCATATAAATTATAAATATTGCTTATCCTCACTTAACATATTTTAGTATTTTAATAAACTTATTTATTTATTCGTCATGTAACGATGGGATTTTCCTTTCAACGACGTCCGCGTCGAGCATAATTGCTGGTTCGTTAAATTTTGCTAGACGCGATGAAATCACTTACCCGTCGGGATATGACACGAGTCCGGCGAAGTCGTCCATCGGACAACCAATAAACATTAGCACACCCATGCCGATCGCGTAAACGACCGCGGTGAAGGCGATCCAGGCTGCGACGAATCTGGCATTAGGCTTCGCCCTCAAGATAAACACGCCGCTAATTATGATACCCAATCCCATCACTAGGATCCCGCCAACGCCTGTACAAAAAAATCGCGCTCATTATACACGTATAATCGTTCGGAGCCATTCACCTGGCAGTTCGTGTTCTGCGTCACAATCAAGTCGTGGAAGCTCAAGGATATAGCGATAGTCACTTCATTAAAATAGACTTCGTTAATAAAAAAGAAAGAGGAAAAATTCGCGCGCTCGTCGGGTAAAAACAAAATTCTCTTTTTCCCAATATAACGTTAAGGGGATGCTAATATAATTCTGCACTTTTTGCACTTCTTGCTCCTAGAACTATCAATTCGTGAAAACATTTGTATAATACACAAATTATGTGGCTTTTGTGTACAGACAGGCAGTGTCCCACTATTGAGACTAAATCAGAGAACAGCGTGGTATCATTAAAGTTAAGTTTAGAAGCCTAACAAGAAATCTATTCACTCTCAAATAAGTTTAATATTTAAGTGAATAAATTTCTTTTTAGGCTTCTATACTTAATTTCAATGACACCACGCTGTTCTCTGATTTAGTCCGAATAGTGGAACTTTTGATCTGTACATACAAGCCTTATATAATTTGTGTATTACACAAATGTTTTTATGAATTGACCCCAAGGAAAATGAAAAGTCAAGATAATATCAATTTGATGTCATATTGACCAAATTTGTGTCATATTTTGGTCAATATGACATCAAATTAACGTCATCTTGATTTTTCATTTTTCCTTGGGACAGTTCTATAATAGATGCAAATAGTGCAATAGGTGCAGAGTCACTCCAGCATTCCTTTAAATAGCGTAAAATAGATTGTTACTTTATTGTGGAGTAAAAAAACAAAATTAACTATTCATTTTAATAAAAATAATACTATCATGATAAAAATATGTTCCGTGCCACGCTAGTCATGGCTAGGGGGCTTTCACAAAATGGTCAGATTAGAATGGACGCGATTCGAGAATCTTCTCTTCGAAAGGGATGTTACAAAATACTGTGCGGCCACGCGATAATTTGTGGCATCCCTGGTGGAAATGTTTTAACTGAAACATAGTGCAATTTTGCTGAAATGTAATTTGAAAATCTCTCTCGCAACTGACCCCGTTTCATTATCATCTCGTCAATATTTCAGTAAGAATTTATCAGAGATGATTTGCGTTAAAAAGTGACAGTTTTTAGTTAAATTCGATAAATTTAATATCTAATGTCACAATTTTTTAATTACTTTTCAACAATACTTTAATTTTCCCTACATTTCATAGTATTATGTTGAATTTTATAAGAAAAATTATAATTTATTTGAAGATACATTCAGTAATTTTTCAACTGAACTTTTAAGGGGATACTACAGTGATTCTGTACCTTTTATACTTTGTGCATCTAGAACTGTCCATTCATGGAATTATTTGTGTAATATACAAATTATAAGGCTTATGTGTACAGTTCAGAAGTGTTCCACTATTTGGACTACATCAGAGAACAGCGTGGTATCATTGAAGTTAAGTTTAGAAGTCTAACAAGAAATCTATTCACTAAATAAATTATAAGTTACCTAACCTATATAACCTATTTAAGTGAATAGATTTCTCTTTAGGCTTCTAAACGTATAGTTTCAATGATACCATGTTGTTCTTTGACTTAATCCGAATAGTGGGACACTTTCGATTTGTACGTATAAGCCTTATAATGTGTATACTACAGAAATGTTTTCATGAATTGACAGTTCTAGATGCAAATAGTGCAAAAGGTGCAGAGTCACTCCAGCATCCCCTTAAAAAGCGTCAAATATATTTGTTAGAAGAACTAACGGGTGCGTAAATAAAGATACGGATGGTATAAGGTCACTTGGATTTATTCTGTTGAAAACTCAAACACGTCCTTTCGTCGCCGTCGAGAATAAAGACTCCTACTGTAAGGGGAGAGGCCTCTCTCGAACTAAAAAACGGAAAATCGCCAGGCTTGACAATTCTCACGACCAAAATACTCTGCCACGCCACACTAGCGCCTCTACTCTTAATCTCAACAATATAATTGTTACTTTATTGTGGAGTGAAAAACAAAATTAACTATTGTTTTTAATAAAAATAACACTATCATAATAAAAATATGTTTCGTATAATAAAAGCGCAATATACAGTTTTGCAAGATTTGTATTCTTGAGCTTTTACTTTGTATCTTCTGAATGGAAAACATCAGGATGCCAATACTTCAAAAATCAAATATTTGCACACTGACAATGAGAAAAATTTCTATCGGATAAACCAATTAAGTATTATTTCCAATGGTTAATTTTTCCGATCAAATTCGTCCGATAAAATGCATTCACTGATGAAATTTTATCAAAAAACCAATTATGTTCTTCATCGGATGTACAATTTAATCGGATATTTAGTCGGAAATTTTTCTTAGTGCACATATTCGTAAAGCATATCTGCGAGATTCTAATAATTTTCCATCCACAGATGATTTGCGTTCTCTCGGTAAAAGGTATCAAAAAGTCAAAATAATAGTCATAAAAAATAAACTTATGTACGTTTCACTGAAAACGTTAAATATATCATTTTTACTTTCTTGAAATGATAACTTTTTTATATCGATTCGACTTTTAAATGACTTTTTGTTCCGCTTGGGTAACGTCACGCTGCAAGTCACACATTTTCTCAAGTCGTACGAGGCGCCAATGATAATGCCGGATTATTCAGTTTGATTCGGCCGACAGATCTTGTCGCAACTTCCTGCACGGCAAAGTGAGAGAATAATTTTTTCTCGCGAGCAAAACGACACGACCGTTCTGACGTTTACGTCAAATTATCCACTTTGCATCGTAATCGCGACGGACATCCGGCGGCGAAATCTTGCGACGTCTCCGCCCGCCCGATCTTTCGGAAACGACGCATCGCCGTTTACTCCGGACACGATTCATCTCTCACGGCGTGCATGTCATTAGTAATTATAATTGGGGGTACATTTCGGGGTTCCCGGGTCCCGCTCGCGTGTCCGCTCGCGATAATTACCTGAGATCATGTTCGCATGATGAGCTGGCAGGCGAAATTGGCTCTCGAGGTACTTCGGCAGGAAGGTATAGAGACCGGCGATCGGCAGGATGTGTAATACACTACTTGCGGTTCTGAACATCAGAATGTCGTTCTTCAACAGCCTCTTTACAGCGCTGGGAAAGTCTGCAACAGCAACGGTCAAGGTGTTAACGCGGGAATGCGCGCGTGTGAGTACAAGAATATATACAATTAATATCAGATCAGTCCGTGCGTCTTGATCTGCGCGTTCATTAAGGTTGTCATTGGCTTCCAACGCAAATGAGATCAACCCTGCCGGAAATAATTCTATGAAATTCTACAAAAAAATTTAATATAACTGCCAGAAACTAAGAAATTTTACGTAAATTTAAAAAGTGCTATAAAAATCAACATAAAAATACTAGAATTGAAACACATTTGTTAATTTTTGTAATATTCTACAAGTAAGTGTTTTAATTCTTTAAGATTTTGTTGTTTCTCAAATTTTGCAAACTAGTGAAGTTTCGTACAAATTTTTACAAAATTATACATTTTCGTGAAATACTACTTGCAATAACTTCTTGATTTGAGAACATTGTAATTTGTGGTGCTACTTCGTAGATTTTTTACAAAAAAATTTATAATTCGGTCAATTTTTTGTAGTTATTTATATAATTTTGTTCCACTAGAGAAGTTTAATAAATCTCTTCAAACCGACATTCAAATGTCATCTTAAAAATGATTTCTATAAGATATCTTTCAATAAAGCTCTTTATGATATCATGTTAATGATGTGTATTTAATGTTAATATGGGAAACCTGTCGAAGTTCCCACTAGAGGGACGCGCGGCGTAGCACTTTTTCGTATGAAAAAAAAAATCGCACGTGGTATTATAAATTGATACACCCGCATGAAAGTTTTTATCTTTCTTATGACGTTGAAGTGAGTTCTTTTACCATACGATCTCTTGTCTACACTCGTATGATTTTCCTTCATACCATTTTTGTCCTTTACATTGTTAAAAATTCCTTTTGGACCACTTGTTAAAAATTTCTCACCAAAGGCTTTGTGTTTGAAATATCTTAAAATATATGTCCTATTGACATCATAAACATGAACTCTTAAAGATGTCTAATTTGAGATGCAATATTGATATGTCAAGAAAGTTATCTTTTCGATGACTTTTAAAAGAAGTCTTTCATTTCTCTGCAAGTGGCGTACGAGAACTCTTTCTGACCTCACTATGTTGTTTTTCTGAAGATATTGTTGGATGTCCAAATCTTAAATGGGAAAACATTAAGAGATCTTTCTGTGCGGGTATAAATCTAATTCGATAATCTAACAGCGATAAATCAGTCGGCGTGCGTACACAAGGTATCAGCTAACGGACTTGCCAACAAAATCTGATTGAACAGCGCGTTCTTTCGAAATTTTCGAAAGTTAAGCGTGAGATGTGCCGCCACTAATTTACACGTTCCCTCGGCAGATGAGAGAAATGAAAGATCTCGGACCACCGTGCAGTTAATGTACAACGGGTATACGGGTCATCGACTCGAGGTGTTACACGTTTCACGGGCGAAGGTTGCGCAGGGCTTGGCGATAGTCCTAGTCGCGATCTGGCTCCGCAGATGCATCTCTCGCGGCGAGCGAGAGATGCACGCGTGGCCAAGCGGTTATCTCTTATTGGTCCCGGTCTCGCCTGATCTTTTCTGTTCCTTCGAGCCGTGCAGCAGCCGACACTCATCCTCTGCAAATCTGACAGAGTTGCCGGGTCTACCGATTCCGCCGTACATTTACGAGCTCGATTACGAGGGGCGAGCTAATTAGCCAGTAATCGAGTCTCTCCTCTCGCGTCCTTCTTCGAGAGGATGCGAGAGGATTCGAAGGTGGCCGAGGTGGGAAGAGGAAGGAGAAAGAAATCGCGTCACGAGGAAAGGAGAAAGGGGCTCTCCGTGTTGTACGAGTCTACGTTATAAGCGCCGTGCAATTCGCAGGCAACTTTAGCAATGACAACGACAACGACATTTACGTTTACTGGCAGTTTCACCGAAATCGATGTAATGTACCAGCGAAGATCGATGCGTCGCGTGGACTTTTGCTCTTCGCGGACGAAGGTGCGCGAACGAACATATATTGACCCATTGAACTCTAGGAGGCTGCAATCCGCCATTCTGGTTCCCCGACGATCAAGGAATGACATTATTGCGATTGAAATGCACAAAATCATTCTTGCGGCTCGGCAAACGCATTTATGCGCCCCTCGAATTGGTTTACTGACAGCTCTAACGAGAGAAACATTCACGATTGTTCTTTTTCCACTTTTAAT